TTGCTTGTGCATCGCTCTTCCCGTCCGTAGACGCTTACAGACACTACTCACTTCGCATCGCAGGGAGGCGGCCAGACGAAGACGATAAAATAAAAAAGCTGTCGTAAGCATGTGCTTGCCACAGCAGCCACCAGCAGAATCATCACAAGCTACTCCGTACAGTAGCAAGCAACATCCTGCAAGGTACCCGCCAAAAACCCTCCGATTGTACTACATACATACATACACAATGGACCCCTATTATTAGTCTCACCAGCCAATAACCGGATGGGTGGTGTGGGAGACGGTCGGTAGATTCGTCGGATGTCACCAACCGAGTTGCTCCTCGAGAGCTGAGGGGAAAGAAGAAAATACTGCAGAATTGACGTGTAAATGTGGGAAGGATATGAGATTTTTTTTTTTAAAAAAGAAAATATTTTATTACCATGGCGGGAAGAAGCACATTTTAGAGTTCCGTTACGCCTGGGGAAATTGGCTCGGTTATCGATCTGCATTATTAGATCTCCTTGCACGGGCGTTAGATGATCAGCTGGACAAGGCTTGTCTCTGGATTTTCTTTTCTTCTCACGACAGCACCGATTTGCTCTACCATGAACCCTGGCGACTACAGGTGATTGCGCCGTGGTCATCTAGCGTCAACCTCTTCAGACGGCTGACGAACAAAAAAAAAAAGACGGTAAAAACCAGCAAAAATCATGACCAAGCCAGGGCCTAGAACGCCAAGCTTGTGTCAAGTTTCAACCCTCGGTTGAGGGCTTATGGATCCACCGCTCTTCCATCATTTCTCTTTTGAGGAGACAGAGGACCACAATTCAGCAAAATGCGGAAGACAATGCGACTCCGACCCCCCCAAATGAGTAACGAGTCACCCTCTTTCCGCTATTCGACGGACCGGAACGATTACTCTGGGTCGTTGCCGAATGGCTTTGGGGAGCACTATTTTGTTTGGCCCGCCCGCTCGAGTTTTTAGTTCCACCTCCGCTTCTTCCTTGGATCTGGCTAGGGACGGTGGCACATGTAGCGGTGTGACGATGTATTGGTACACGGCGGCGGTGAGGATGGCGAGACACCCAGAAGTAGCGGAACTTATCTACAGCCCCTATAGACAACACCTTGCGAGGCCGTCGTTGTGTAGCAGGGCCCGAGACATGTTGCAACAGTCGAGTCAGTCGACTGGTCCCGGCTCGCTTCCGCTTGAGTTTCCTTCGATAACATGTCTCACGATGTTCAGAGTTCTGGTTCTGCTGAGCCGCGAGTGGTGCAAATGATACTAGTACGGAGTACTCCGTACTCGGCATTTCATCGAGGAAGGGTTCTCGTTTGCCCCGTGTCCGGTGGATGAACTACTAGCTAGGAGAAACTGCCTGCATTTATTTCACTCCCAATGCCGTTGCACTTGAAAAGGTCGTGGGGATACTAGGTCTCCACGGTGTTGACACGAAACGTTGTGCTTCTGCGCCGTCCTCAACCAACATATCTACATCATTGGCACATGGGCACTAACTCGAGTGAACAAACCTCACAAGGCGCGTTTTTGCAATCACACCAACTGTTTTGCGTTCTGGTCTCCAGTAAGCTTTTCACGGCACTTGACAAGACCGGTGCTGGATTCTGCCCGCCACATGCTCTTGCACCTCGGCTCTGCAAGACTTCAAAACGAACGCTCGCTCAGCAACTTCCATTTCCGACCCCTGTCACTATTGCCGGCCCGTCCAATCGTGACATGGAGCCCTACGCTGATCTTGGAACCATCAATCAACTTCAAATGCCGCCCCCATGCGGCCACTTTGCTAAATCTCTTACCCCGGCATCCTGGTCCTCTTAGATCCAGGCACCAGGCACCAGGCACCAGGCACACAGCCGCAACCGGCGTGGGAAAATTTTGAACTGTGTCCGAGTTCTTACTTCCGAGGAACCGGCAGGACACAATCGTTTTGCAAACGGCCGGCGCAAGGTGCGACAAGGTGCCCATGGGACGGGGCTCGATGCCCCATCAGCCGACCAGGCCATCTCGCAAGCTCCCGTCAGAAACACGACGACCCTGCGTGAAACAAAGGGAGACATGCATGTCATCTCATCAAACACTTTGCGACGTACATATGCGTGTTTCCGCAATCAGGCACAGTCTTGCAGCCGCGCATATAATAGTCTGTGGCACAAGCAGTATGTAAACGCTAGATAACAGTAGTATACTCTGGTCTAACGCGCCATGACGTGGTGTTTTGCTCTTTTTAAATGCCCTTTCCCTCCCGGTATGTAGAGTACGCCATGGCGAAAGGGAAAGATGCTCCAAGCTCAAACCTATAAGGCAATACTCTGAAACTCTGGAGCGTTCTGGCCCTTTGAATGCACCCAATTCGGGAGTTCAAGCATTATGGCATCTCGGAATCGTTTGTATGTATGGCGCGGGTTTCGTTTCATCAATGTGTCATTGTTTCAAGCTCAACTCGGTCGACTACCTCTTGTCGATCGGCTTCAATTGCTACTGCTTCCTTGAGCCGAATCTGAAATGGTATTTTGGATATTGACGACCGAATAACACCAACAGCTAGTCGAAATGGAACGTTTGAAAATAAGCAAAGGCCCAAGGCTCCAAAGTCATGATATCCAGTAGCTGCAAAAGGCGTGCGAAGCTCTGGGGAACCGGGAAACTGAAGAAGGCCATGGTACGTTGCCTCGTCTTGTCGATCTCGCTGACTGACACTGGACATATAGAGGTAGACCTGGACCAAGCCAACGCATGTATTATGCACTTTGTGGCATTGCTCATGTCTCTTACCGAATATCCATGTGGTTTCCAAGACGTTGGATAACAGGGGAATAAAATAAGACGCCATCAAGGCCAGAATCTCTGAGGACACTCCCATTATGCACCATTGCCTTTGGAATTTCCCGAAAGAACGCGCCCAGCGTCGTGGATGCGTTCGTTGGATCCTTTGCGCCTCAAGTGACGAGGTCATCTCGGCGCTATTTCCCTGAGTGCTCCGGTACTGATGCAGTACCACCGAGTCAGGAACCGTGTTCATGTTATGTGACAGGGCATTCATAAGCGGTCCAAACCCCGGGACTAGAAGAACATGTTTTTGAAACGTATGTAAATGGCAACAAACATTCTCGTCGACATGGTTTCCTCGGAGTGCGATCTGAGTTGAAGTTGATAGAGTAAACCTGGTAAACATCACACGTCGCGGATCAGTTCTTTCTGAGAGGCGGTGCAAGGGTATTTGAGTTTCTCATACTTTCTTGCCAGGAGCCAGGAGCATAAGCTATTGAGCCGGTCTTTCTTGACCAGTCCAGTGGACTGCGACCGTGTCAGAGGCCTGGATGTTGAGTAACCTGCAAATATATGACGAACGTTTTGTCATACCATACTGTCAGCCTCAGCCTGCAAATTACGAACCGTAATCTAGCCACTACAAATATTTGGGCTACTTGATACTCCCTAACTGCCATATGATGAGTAGATCGAGTTGTACCACCTAATCAGAGGAGGATTCTCGGCCTGTGGCGTTGTCAAATTCACTCGGTGCCGCACACCTTGGAACATGCGGATCGAAGTAAGCACGTACTCCGCAACGAACTTCTAATAAGAAAATCACTTCTGTTACATGTGCTCTATCGGATAGCATTGCCTCCTCCCTCCGCATCCGTCATCTCTGCCCATCCACGTTGGGACAAATAACGACGTGCCTCACCACGCCACAACGCGATGAAAAGGGTATTTGCAAATTACATCCGCCGTCTTTGTCTCTCAATGACCCCCCAAAATGGTGCCGGCACAATGAATCAATTCGTCGGCATGGATACCGTGCGCTCCTCTGGCCGTATTGCCGATTCTCTTTACAGTTTGCTTCCAGTTTCACAACAACACGGTCAACATTTACACTCATTTTGCACCAGCTCTCATCCTCATCATTGACGAATGGTTCCCTTCGTGGACCATATGCGCCAACTCCCCACGACATGGTGCTCACGGAGGCGACGCGTGCAGCCACTCTTGGCGTGATTGACTTTGCATTCTCTTGAGCCAGAAGTTCAAGTCCCCGTGGCGCAAGTAAGGTTCTCGAAGAGTTGCAAGCCCGAGAGGTCTGACAACATCGGCGGATCGCGTCGGTTGCTTCACTCGTTGCTTGTGGCAGCTGTGGTGACTCAACTAATCAGGATTCTGGAAGCGTCTACTCCAACTACGATAGTCCAAGTTGCCTGCGGCGAGCATTCGCTTGGAGACCAACATATGTTAGCGAGCGTCTGTCCCTTGGTACGCGCAACTGTTGCGAACAAGCCCTCTCGTTGTATGGACGTCGTCACGCCGGAAACTAGGGGCGCTGGGTGCCATGAGTTTTGCATATCGCCAGGTCACATAGCAAGATGCCACATAGTAAGCGTTTATCGCCTCCTGGAAACAGCCTCAACAGGCTGCAGTCAATCCCGCAAATAGGGGAGTGCATGTGGTGTACTGACTGATTGTTGCACATTTTGGTGATAAGTACATGCCAAACTAGGAGATTGTCCGGCGGTGGCGCTGGGGCGGGCCGAGCCGAGCCGGTGCGTGGGGTTGCAATTGTAACGCTGCCAGTCGGCGATATTTTACTTTGATATAAATTACTCAAAAAGAGCAGTACTAGGTTGTATGCTCATGCTGGATGGAATATCGCCCACCCCGAAGCTGGTCACAACATGACGATCTTTCTTTCGATACTTGGTCGCTCATCACAGGCTCTATCGTCCGAGACTCTGAGCGTCAACACCCTGGATTGGTTGGCAGGGTTGGTGCTACTGCCTGCCAAGCGCGTCTACCGTTGAGGCGATTGAGGATGATCAATTCAATCCAATGAACCTGTCTACAGTCCTCTATATACGGAGTAGGGTGCTACAAATCTCGGCTGGACCATGTGACTCCCTCTGAACACCTGCAAACCACAACAAAGACTGTTCAATGCTCCCTCCTTTGCATTGGAGCCTTGGGTACAGGCAAGGTACTGCTTCACTCTTGAGTTACAATGCGACCGCGGATGAAGCATGACAATGTGTTGTTGGAGGAAAGTGAGCGTATCGAAGACGAGTGGAAAAAGTCATTGTTTGCACCAGACACGATGCGAGCTATTGGGAATTTCATCGTCAAACATCGCGGCGGGCTTCCGGATGAGGTCTGTTGCCCCAAGGCCGGTTCTTTTAATATCACATTTGGCATGAAGCTTAAAGATGGTGGACCTGCCATTTTACGGTTTCTAAACCCCGGTATAATCATGTTTCTCGAGGAAAAGGTGCGGAATGAGGTGGCCACTATGAGATATATTCAGGACCATACCGCTATACCGGTTCCGCTTGTAATAAGCTCGGGAACAAGGGGGGAAGCTCTCTTGGATCGGGCCCCTTTATCGCCATGGAATACATTCACCGCGAAATGGACATGGGTGACGCCCTGGATAAGCCAGAACTGAGCGCCGTGGACCACCAATGCCTAAATCCAAGCATTGATCTCCCCAGGCTGCCCGGCTGTACCTTTCAATCCTCTTTCGACTAGTTCCAACGCCTGGCGCTCGAGAGTCATAACAGCGGCCTGCTGCACCACAAGAGGCACATATACAGCGTTGTAATTGGTTCAACAGGTGTCATTGTGCCGGCCCCGTGGCAATTCCCCGTTGTAAATTCGCATACAAGCGCTTTTGAACTTATTGCAGCAGGATAGTGACCGGTAGGGCTTAGTTTGCATACCTCACTCTACCTTGGAGTTCATCCATCATTTTCCGTCGGTTTGCTCGATCGGATTACCACTCCTAGAGTAAACTTATATTGAGGGTTTGAGTAAGCTCGTGGCTCAATCGAAACCAAAGTTTGCACGTCAAAAATCCAAGTTGTCCTTTGTCTTTTCGAAATAGTACTACCTCAGCCATCAAACACCACTCGCCCCGTCTTTGAACAAAGGCCTTCCTGCTGTTGGAATAGTCACATCGAACCGCGTTGAAACGGATGTGCTTCTTTCCATACGGCCTGAGCATCTCAAACATATGATCAACAAGACAAAGAACCACCAGTTTTGGAGCTGCAAACTACCAAATGGCATAGAGAAACCATGGTTATACGAGACTCTTGAGACATCGAGAAACAAGGGATGCCAGGAATAACGTGAGTAGCAGCATGCACAAATTCCTTTATGGGTGCTTGCTCCTAATCATCTACCGCGCCGTCAACAGATACATCGCCACCAATCCTCCAAATATTCGTCATCTTGCAGGCGCCGTACCGGAAGAACCCTCTTTCCTTGGGAATGCCGAGTTTAACGCCGGCACGAAGAAGTTCAAGTTTGCATATCCTATCTTCGAACTTTATAAACTTACCTAACCCATGAGATTGGGGCACCGGTCTTCTTCTAAATATGCCAGCTCTAGAGATGACCTTGAGACCACCGACTGTCTGCACCTGCAGTCACTATAAGCGGTATCTCGCAAAGGACAGAAGCTAGTCACGCCTCGGATCCGGGTATTGGCAAGCTCGCTTATTCAGAACACCGCAAAGGCGTGCCCTGCCGACTTTCGCTATGCTGTCACGGAAAGAGATGAGGATGAGGGCTTTTGCATGCTTGCCGAGATTCACTGGCATGCCTCCTAGGGCAAGGCCATCTTCGACATGTCTGCCATGGGCAATACCCCAGGAGCCGACGATTCTGAGCCGATATGCCATCCAATTGGCTATTCCCCCTTTCTTGGCTACGAGAACTATGAGGCCCAACGCTCCCCACGCCTACTACCAACAACGACTGGCAGACCGGAAAACCTGTCTCCTCTTCAAACGAAATACTACAGCTGCTTTGAAGAGATTGTTGGAATGCGCTGTGTTCACCTAGTTCTGAATGATTGCATCTGCGTCGCAGACTAAGCATTCCTCTTTGTTCGTCCAATAACTATTGCGGCTTTGACAACTCTTGTCCGATCAAACCAAGCAAAGACTTTTCCAGTCAGGTTGTAGCCAGCCAACGAGATGCCGTAACGGCTTAAAGCAACCTCTTGTTTTCGCAGATAGCCCGATAGACCACCAAACACATGATCCGAAATATCCCGAATCTCAATTTGCGCTTCGTCATAGCCACACTCGATAAGCTGGTTTCGGTATTGTTCCGCGGTCAAGAAGGTATACAGCGGACAGGACAGGATAAAGCCCAAAATCCGAACTGCTATAATTTGCCACATGGGTGCGTTCTCGTTCAGTATCAAGTCAAACGCCATGACATTTGCGTCCAGTGTCTTGGCTGCAAGCTTAAAGATGGATTTCCTAGAAGGGGAGAAGTGGTAGAGGCAGTCCAACGCCATGAGCCATCGCTCGGAGAAAGCCTCATCTGCCAGGCTATCCACCGATGCGTGAACCACGCTACTCCAAGACTCTGGCTTTGCTGCGTCCGCCTGGAACAGTTTAACGGCACCTTTGGACAATCCGATTGCATTCTCCCTTCCGCCCTCAAGTGCCAATGCCCCGCTGAGCCTCTCCTGTGCTGCTTGAAGCTGCTCCGCGTTCAAAGTAAGCCCGACGTAGCGAAATTGTGGCCGTGACGAGGCCTGTATGAGCTCTGTGAGCGCAATGGTCTGGTCGCCACACCCAAATCCCACGTCCAACACGGCGACGGAATGCTTGGTCTTTGAGGCGGCCCTTGCCGGCTGATTTTCGACTCCAAGGCCGGCAGCGTGTACAATCTTCTCTAGCAAAGCCCGCGTCGCCACATCAAAGTGGTCAATGCGTCTGCCGTCTTCTGTTGTCCTGTGCGGAATGCGATGATTAGGGTCGCTTTGGCTTCACTGTGTGCCTGAAAGGGGCAATCAGGTGGCAAAAAGAACCACTCACCAGAATCCGAGATTCATCCACAGGGATCGAAATGGAGTTCTCACATTGAGCTTCCAATGTCCGAGTCCGTAAATGTCCTTGGGTCGAAAAAGTGCAAACGCCACAAATGCCCCTAGTGCAATGGTAACAATACACCCGGCAGCGAAGCCCAGGGCAAACTCTCCGGCTGAAAATGACAAGGCCATGGCTCGGATGAGGTGTACATGACAGGGCTCGACTTTGGCTGCAATGATGCGTGATGTCTGATGATGATGTGGTTGTCCGAAGGTGCCGGCTTTTCCACAAAGTCCCCGATTGCGGGCCTGGCAGCGTGGGCTGGACCAATAGCAGTTGGTTGTTCCGACTCTGCGGCTTCTTCTGGTTATAGCCGCTATTGTAATTAGGGTATAAGCGATATAGTTCTCTCAATCTTTCTGATCGTAGTGTTGGCTTTACGATCACATGGATCCCGTTATTCTGTAATGGCCTCGGTCGCCAGGCGATTCTAGCAATCCCCTGCGCGCCGACTATTCTTCCGTGGTGGTCCCTGTCTACGGGCGGAGATGGCTAAACACAGCCGACCCCTTCTGCGGCCCGCTAGGCTCAGGAGCCCTGACCGCAACAATATGTAGGGAGCAGATGGGGGATATATCTAGGACTGAGGATTTAGCACAATAGAGAATAGGAGGAGTCTGTCCAGCACGCCTATTTAGGTCCTATATTTCAGTAGCCGGTACCCTGTAGTCCGTCCCTTCTCACAGCAACTGACATCTCCACCAACAACTTCTCCCCTGGCCGCCCTCCTGATACCTCACCAACCCACTCCTATACCCAGTCAACCTCGCATAAGCACCTCTCTTGAAAGCATGCCGCATATCAAGTCCATTCCCTAGCTCAAACACCGTCGACGCTGAACCAAGGATAACTGGCGTCTCCGCCCCAATCGTGACCTCAGTCGCTCTCTCCGCAATGATCCGCGCCGCCGTATCATCGGTTCGTGTAGTCTCCGCCGTTTCGTCGTATGTCTGGTTGACTATATCTTCGGCTTTGTCCCGCGAAGAATTTCTCCATTCGTCGAGTTCATGTTCCGTCATGGTGGATTTGATTTGGTCCTGGCGGTTATTTTGTTTATCTCTTGTGCGAGTCTCTCGTCAGAGGCCCAGAAGTAGCGAACTCTCTGTTATTGTCATTTGTCAGTAACATGTAGCTAAAGAGTACTATGCCAAGACAGAGGGGAAGTAGGCAGGGAATATGGAGGGATGGTAGGCTCACCTCTCGCCATTGGGCCCTCGCCTCAGGGCCGTAGTTATGCACACCAGCGGTACCGCTCGCCAGCACACTCTCCGGTACATCCATATGTATCAACGCTTTCTTATCTGCCCTCATTAGATGATTTGCGTGCGCCTCGGCAGATGCCCTAGTCGCGGCCCAGTACACAGCCGGCTCACCAGGACGATTAAAGTTGCCAATTGAAGTCGTGCGCACGGCGGATACGTCACCGAAGCGTAAAAACTGAGTACCTCGCGCCTGATCCGTCGCGCGCCACAGCCTGATGAAGCCTGATGAAGCCTGAGGCGACCGGAGGAGGAGGATTAGCATCAAAGAGGCTGGACCCAAGTCTGCGTGCAACCGTGGCGGGTATGTCACGGAGACTGGAGAATGTGCCGCTGCTCCCCGCTGCCTGTTCGTGGCTTGATGACTCAGAGAGTGATCTGTTGTATTTGCGATTCTTGATTGTGCCGCCCGGATCGTCAAAGTTGATAGGATCATTCCTGACATAGGCGAAGAGATTCAATCCGTCAACTACGCTCATGGGATCGGCAGATGTCCCCCATGGGCAGATATTGAATATCCTTGCCCTTGCGCGGTTGATTATCGTTGTTGTCGCAGTAACGGTCTGTCACTTTGTGCACACGCGTACCCTCCGCATCGTAGACATACCACGTCATCTCAGGTATGTTTCCACTATCCGCACCAACGTTCTGCGTCGAAAAGGAATGCAGACGATCGTCGTCATTCCAAGAGAGATGGCTGTATCCCGGTATATACGTCATACAGCCTTGCCGTCCCGCATCGCCCTCATATTTATACCCCTCAGTCACTTTGCCCACCCCGGTGCAGGTAAGCCTGTTACCTGTCTCCCATGCCGTGATACAGCTTTGCTCTGCATATGTGTATGTCCTTGTCCAGCCAGTGTGCCCGGCAGTATTGGGGGTATTGGACATGGTGAGCATGTTTCCTGCCTTGTCGTAGGCATACGTCTCCGTGTAGCGAATCGTCTTCGAGTCACCAGCAGGCTTACCGTCGTTGAAGCTGTATGGCGTAAGATGTTTTGACTGCGAGTCGACTTGGATTCGGCCTGTGGCTTGTACAAGCTGACCGAGGCAATCGTAGTGGTATTCTTGCGTCGAATCGGAGTCATTGACGACAATCTTGGCCGTGTCTTTTGTCTGTACGACTTTGCTCGACAGTCGTAAGTGTATGAGACGTCCTGGAGCACCGCGTTATAAGTCGTGCGAATGGTTCTTGTGGCCACAAGACGTTGTGTCTGCTCGTCGTATGTCTTTGTCGACCGCGTCTTATCACCATACATAAGGTCGGTGATCATGCCGTTGGCGTTGTACTTGATGCTCTTGGTCGACGATGTAGCAGCCCCCGTGTCGTCCTTCTTAAACGACATGAGAGCCGCAAATCGCCCTGCGATGTTGTACTACCGTCTAGTCATCCCAAGATCCGACGCCACATTATCGACGGGCAGGTTAAGAGCATTGTATCGACACTCGGTTTTGTGCTCATCCTTTTCCAACGCCGCCTCCTCGTCCTTCACACTTGACCAGTCTAACCTGTTCCGGTACTCGTTGGCATACCGCCGCGTGGACACAGTACACCCACCCAGAACGTCGAATTTGCGATTGGTAAGAAGTCCAGCCTGGCCACGGCACTGATACACCTGCTCGCGAAGGCACGCCGCTCCGGCGGTAAGAGTCGATGTCATATATCGTCCGCTGACTCACTTTAGCAAGCAGGGACCTGGCTGTATCTCCGTAAGGCGTCGTGAAAAAGGCATCCAGTGTTTGTTGGTCAACTTCCCCTTTGAATCCATCCAGGCTGTTCCCAGTACTGTCCCCTTGGTTCCCCAGAACGGCAACACCTACAGCCCGTCCAAGGGGGTCTGGGGCTGTCTGGACTCTGTTCCCATTGGCATCTATGGTCATAATGCTTGCGAGCTTAGCATAGTCGCTAACAGTGGACATTGTGCTGCCCATCGCGTTTGCAGTCTTCTTCGCCAAGAGATAGTATTGGTCCAACTCTACGGTTGATGTGTTGCCATATGCATCCACCTCACCGCTGGGGATGAAGAAGGAAGTCCGCGCAGCCTTGAGGCGGTGGCCCCGGTCGTCATCCCCAAAGATGGAACGCGATGACTGTGCCCACCGTTTGCCTTCCTCGCCGTTCAATTCAACGTATCCGCCGCCTTGAAACTGCGCGGCCAGCACTTCCATATTCACTACTGGCTTCGCGTCACCGAAAACCTCTTGTAGATGATCTGACGTAAAGACCAACTGGTACTTTCAGTCAACGACAGAAAACTCGGCTACCACCCCAACGGGCAGTGCTTCAAGCAGTCCGTTGATGTATATATCGTGCGTTGATCTGCCAGTAAGACACGATATCCTTCGTTATTTGCATGTTTGAGCTGCTCATCCGCGTCAGCGTCGAGAGGAATTTCCACGGCCTCCCTGAGAAAGCATGCGCCATCCTGCGCAAGCATCTCCCACGCATATCGGCCCTTTCCACTGATGGCAGTAGCTGGGAAGACCCTGTACTTCTGGACCTCGGCAGATAGTGGACTCTGGAAGTAAGTCTCGGACTCGGCAGCGTTGGTAAATCTCATCTCGGTGTAGCTAACAACGGTTCCCTCCTGCTTCCGTTGGTCATCGGCGTCGGGCAGCTGACTGGATGGTTTGCCATATTCCTCGAGAGCCTCCAGAAGAACGTTGCCATAGTCATCCGTCTGCAGTGTGAGGCGATGCGCGGGAATCTTGGATCGACAGCTTGGGTTGGTCCTGTTCACCCTTCACCGTCGTCCTCTCATAGTGCGCCGTGACCTCCTCTCGTCCGTCCACCCTACACACTAAACGTGCCGGCGCCGTCTGTCTGAGGACCACGTCGTACGTCTGTTGTGAGATGAGGTATGTAAAGGCAGCCTTTGGATCCGAGAGATCGGTGCTGAAGACCTCTTTTCGCCGTGACTGGCCCGCCAGTGCACGATATGCTTCTGCGGAAACAGCCACGTCAGTCCCCAACAAGGGTATTGTAGCGCTGGCTATGGCGTCGTGTCGTGGCGCATCGATCTCGTAGCTCCACGGCAAGCAACTCGACTCATCTACCCGTCCCACGCCGATGTAAAACCACTCCCATGTGAGGACGAGGGGCGTTAAAACGGCGAGGCAGTCATCGAGTCAAATTCTTCGGTATCCCACGTCTCAGCTATCTGGAAGCCACGGAAGATCTTTTCTGTGTAGTCGTAGTAACCGTTGTGGTAGGCATAACGGGCAGTGGATGATGTTTGCGTGACTTGATCCACCATCACGGTCTGGGAGACGCAAAGGAGCGGAAACGGAAGTTTAGTCGTCCAAGGTGTTCCTTGAGCCTCGTCCTCACTGTAAAAAGAAAAGGACGACTTGTAGGTACATGTCGTCTCCAGTCCGGTCCCGTTCGACCACTTCTCAAGAAGTCCGGGACGTTGCGGGCCCAAGAGATTCACAAGACGGACCGTTGAGAGCCCGCTGGTGCTCCCAGCGTCGTCGTCACCACCACCGCGATACAGATCGGACACCCAGCATAGGGATGTTAGAACATGACCTCCAAGATCAAGAATATCGACTGCCGATGTGCGATCAAGCAAGTTGAACCCTGGAATCAAGTCTCCATCACTCCAGTCGTTTCCCGAGCGGTTGTAATAAGGCCACAGCACCGCCCTTGGGGCGCACATAAAGCAGGTCGGTTGTCCCAGACCCATTATGTCGGCAAGTCGGACTCGCTGCGGCGAGAAGAGGCCACCAGCTGCCATCAAGGGAGCATTACCCATGATGATCCTGCATTCGAAAGTTCCACGGCCTGTGTTGGGCCAATAACCCACGTTTCCGTTGCGAATCTCGACCATGTCAGCCAGACCATCACTTGTCATATCGCATAGATGAATCAGCGATGTAGGATCCCCTAGAGACAGTACCGGGGCCCCAATAGCAGCCTGCGCTGGACCGAAGCCATCAGAGCCTAAGGATGAATGCCATACAAGGGAACCACCGGCCATAAGCGCCATGGAGAGCGAATCGGCAGTGTCAGTGCCGCTCAAATTGACAGAGCGGTAATCCTCTGGGTTGTTGAATTTTGGTTGCAGCTTGAAGGGCACATAATTCAGCCATCCATCGTCTTCATCGCGTTCGTAAAATCCACGCAGGCCGCCATTCTCGGTCACGACCACGACGTCTAGCGCTCCTGTTCCATGAACATCTTCAAAACGCTAGTCCTCGACGGCAGACTGGGTCATGCCTGGCAACGTACTCGCTGGGCGCGGTTCGCCAACTTCTGGGGGGCCATCCGCGCCCGTGACGTTGCGCTGGTAGTACCACCCTCCACCCTTGGACTTGGTGAATATGCCCGGCGCACCTTCGCCGTCCAGGTCAACCCATTGCGCCATAGAGGTATCCAGCCCCGATATGCGCAAATCCGTCTCCTCGACTGGCAAATCTGCAAGGTCGGTGGGCCCCTTGGTATACCCAAGTTCAACTGGCGGCATAGCAAGGGTCCAGTAGTCATTGTCTCCCTTGGGACTGTGGCCCTTTTGAACGGAGGAAGCAAGGAAGCTGGCGCCCGAACGCTCGTCTGTCTCGTAATCGAAGCATGTCGATGAGACGAGGCAGTCCTGCCTACCAAGCTCAGATGGGAAGTGGTGAAATATCAGAACGCGACTGCAACGGTGGTATGTCCGTATCTCAAAGCCGCTGTTGTAGGTCGAGAACGGGTCATGGCGACGGTTCCACGCGCTCTCCGCCTTGGTGGTAGGTCGTTCGTCATTGTGCTCGCCGAAGTCCAAGACCACCTCGAACAGCCAATCCGAAGGCCTCGTCACAGCGTTCGAGTCATCGACACTGCGGCTAGTAGTAGCGTTCCCGTACTGAATACTCTTGAGGTACCGCTGCGAAAAGGAAGAATGGGTACCATCAAATACCCCGGACTCGCACACGTTATCTTCGGGGTTGTACGTGTATACAATATAATCCCCGTGACTGTCATACTGTTCCGAAGTCAGCCATGAGAATACTTTCTTCTTTGCAGACGGTCCTGAACCTGTTTGGCAAAAGATCCGGTCGCTATCAGAGAGTCCATGGATGGCGATAATGTTGTCTGAGGAAGTCACCCTCCAAAGCGTATCAGCCCCATCTGTTGTCCTCCACTGCTCGACATGCGTCGGCTGGCCCTCTACCCGCGCACGATACCCGCGCACATTATGCCCATCAATCGTCCCGGTGGGCTTATCCGAGGGGACCAAGTCTCCTAGGGCGGAATGCACAAACACATCCGCAGCAGCATCATCATCGTAGGTCGGGACGCCCCTGGACGTCTTGCGTGAGATGGAATCAACTCCGGCTAGACGCCATCCCATACCAAACACGCCACTCGACCCAGCGGCCCCGGAGCTGTACTCCAGGCTAAGAACGGGATCGACATCGGAGGAACGTCTGAAAGAAGTCAGGATGGGGATTGTACAAGTCGCACCGCCGGTCTGAGTGTCGACCTTGACATTGAATTTCTCCAAGCTCGACCAACTACTGGCGCCGTTTGCCGTCATTCGTCTAGGATCATTATCGATACTAGAAGCGGGTAGATCATTGGCCCAATCCCCGCTGTTTTGTTGACCCACTTGGCATGGCACCAAAAAATGGGCGTGGCCACGCCATTTATACCAGACTCTGTATTGATGTCTGGTGTTAGTACCAGACCCCTTATACCGTGCGACACTTGGGACTGAGGATCGTTCGTCGACCTCTTTTTCTTCTTTAGCCTAACGCACGGCGTGTATCTGTACACGCGGTTATGCAAACTTACGGATATATCCGCCGAGGCGACCCCTCCTCCTGGCATTGGCGTGCGGGTAAAGGAGCTCATTTCAACAGCCCGTCGCTTTTATTGTTTTCTTCTTTAGGCTTCCAGACCTCGCAGGCTTAGGGAAACCACTGAGGAACACCTCGTATCTTCTACCAAGCGCTGATATGAAAACCACCATGGATGGATGCTGGTCTTTTGAGTGCACATGTGCAGTAGGATAGACGCCTGATAGCCTTGGTCGCGGACTACGAGAGCAGGAATGCTATATTGGACGATTTCGTCGGCTAAGCCGAGGCCACAAAGAGAATCAAGCTCTCATGTAAGCGCGTGGGGGTAAACACGGCCATACAAGTATTATATAAAAAGATATAGATTTATATATTGTGCTGAAAATAATAAGGTATAAAAATAAAAATATAAAGAGAGCTTTTTTATAATATTAATAAGCTTGCGCTGGCATCCTAGCTGCGGGGGGGCACGGGGGGCCGCAAGGTCCCTCGTTAAGCTATAGAGTTTAGATTGTCTTATTAGATGACGATGGTAGAGGCTGGCTTCTTTATTTTACATCCTTTTTTTCCTAGCTAGTCCTTCTTGCTAGTATTTCTCGTTCCGGGGGGGGGGGATTAGATGAGGATGGATAGATAGTCTTAGATTTCGCACGGGAACCCGACAAGGGTCTCTAAACCTGGGTTACGAGCTCCAGCAACGAGCCAACCGGCTACTACCGCATCCACATTGAGTTACGAGCCTACCCACATACATGTGTAAAGCTGTCAGAATACCCCGCGTTTCTCGGTTTAACCCTGGGCCCAAAATGTTGGTTACCGCCTAACTAATGCTATGCTATGCATGCTCAGGGGTGGGTTTTGCCACAGGGATATAGTTGTGAAGGTAGAGGATAAATACGGCAGGAGACTCTGTGAGTTGCCAGTCCGATGGGTTACTGGCATCGCCAAACACGGCCAGGGCTCGGGCGATAATCTTGTACCTCCCCGGAGGGGCGTATTGGCCCTTGGCATAAGCACCGTCCCATTCGCCTTCAACGCCCACCGCGTTTCGTGAGGCATAATAACGGGGGAACCCAGCAACTTGACCGATAGATTTGAGCCCGCGAGAGTCCTTGACCATGGAGCTTGGCACGCAGTTCATGGACAGATCCGGAGGCCATTGCACCGTCGACGTGTCGGTTCCGAGCGGACACAGGTCGAGCGGCACAATGTCCATGAGCACTTGTGGCGAAGCCAGGAGGCTAAGACGGAAGAAGAGATTGCCGCTGAATATTTGGGTAAGCTCCCCAATGCTGGCCGGAGAGCCGGGCTTCTGTCCGGATGGTGGATCCAGAAAAACGACGCTCGCATTCTTATCAAGGGGGGTGACGTTATTAGGATCGGCCCAACGTACTCTCAAGGTATTAGGATGCAGGCTGGTCGCGGATCGGAGCGAGCCGCTGAGGCCAAGGTAGGGTGCCGTCAGGTTAGTGCCGTCAGAACCAGTGATAGCGACCCAGCCGGACCACAGGGGCAGACGCGAAGCATCAAGCCCCAAGGGCTCCTCAGCCGAGACGTCAACGGTGGCCGACTGTCCCGGGCCTAGGGTAAAGGAGCTTAGGCTTAGTTTAATGTCGGCTGTGGCTTGGGCATGTTCGCCCTGACCGGGCTTGGTGCCGCCTGTGGAGAATGTATACAGCGTCGTGGCCGCCAAGTTGGAGAGTTCGTAACTTACCTCCGACTTGGCCGTGTTGGTGATGTTGAGGCTGATCGAGACTCGATGTTCTGTATCGTTAAACTCCAAGCCAGCAGGTTCCACGAGAGTCGTCGCGTGCGCAGCCTCCCAGGCGTCAATGAGACCGCCTCCCTGTTGGGCTACAGACATAAATGCGCCGTTGTCTCGCTGCGGCTTCGCCGTTGACATGAAGAGCTTGTTGATGAGCACGCCATTAAAATTACCACCACGTGCCTCGGCGACAAGAGCAACAATGCCCCCAACAAGAGGCGTAGCATACGACGTGCCTGAGGTGTATGTATACCTACCATGCTTCTCCGTCACCCAGATTCCCTGACCAGGCGCGATGACGTTGGGTTTGATGCGAAGGTCCCAGGTCGGCCCATATGCTGAAAGGTATGGCACCGTGTAGTCACTCGCGACCGAGTTGACGGAAATCACACCGTCGCCAGTAGCAGGGGCCATGGCATAGAAAAGACCCTGTTCCTGCATATTGCCGAGGCCACCAATGCAAGTGACACCACGAGCCGCGATGCGAGACGCCACCATGGCCAGCGGCCCCTGTGCCCAGCCATTGCCCTGTATGCCGGTTGAGGACACGATGATTTGCGCCCTGTCCTCGTAGGCCTTCAGCCAACCCGCCATCATATCATCCTCTGTTCCCTCAGCAGAACAGTCAAGAACGCGGTAAGCCATGAGCGTCGCGTTGGGCGCCGCGCCGACAAAGCCCTGATCCCTCGAGTATCCAGCCAAGACGCCGGCCACTTGAGTGCCGTGGCCGTAACAGTCCATTGGGTCACCTTTCTCCCCATCCTTGGAGAAGTTGTCTCCAAAAGCAACACGGCAGCCTTTACCGAAGCAGCCACCCAGGGCTGGGTGGGTGTAGTCAATCTGTTGCATGTAGCCTTTAAATTAGTATACGAAATGCTCGAGACCGTCCGCAGACGACAGAGGCAGCGGACCGGAAAACCTACACCAGTGTCAACCACAGCAATCTTGATGCCTTTGCCCGAGAACCCCTTCTTGTGCAACTTATCCACATGCGTCATCAAATGAGGCCAAAGATCGTCGGCTGCACGTTTACTAGCGCGGTGTCGCTGCGTATCCCCTGAATGCAGATTCCCCGCCGCCCCCAGCTTCGGATTCTCTTGCCCGACTTCGACTACTGGGGTTGACGCTTGTACAGGCCACACGCCTCTGATGCCTTCCAGTTCTTCCAGCTCGGCTATTGTCTGCTCGGCCGTGCTTATGCTTTCCAGCTGCACCGAGACGCCGTGGAATATATCCGAGTTGAATTTATGGCGCACTTGGCCGCCCTTCTCCTGCACATTATTCGCTAGCTGCTCAACGCACATACTGCTCTCGCACTCAACAATGTAATCATGCACACTGGAAGTACTCGGAGCTTTGGTGCCTGCAACGGCTGTTATAGTGAGCCATGCGAGCGTTGGCAAGGACAGGCGAATCATGGTGTCACCTGTGACAAGATTAAACTGAGATTCCGTAGACACTCGGAGCTGTAAGAGAAGGACGTCGTATCAGTAGTAAAACTAATCCAAGAACTTGTCAGTATTAACGAAGTCTACTAGATTTGTCCTAGACAAGGTGACGACTAGATTATATATATCTCAAACGCATTGCCGTCCTCGTTATACGTAATAACGCATAAGCATATCCTTAGGCATAACTTCTCGTTCTATATAGCTCATGTATTAATATAATACTATTACCCTGGGTGGGCTATTAGCGGTTGCATCTATATTGCAATATACCCATCACTTATTACAACATGTCAGCTTGCTTTTCGCTTCAAACCATGGGTGTGCTTTTATGGTATACTGAACGGTTTATGCGGAAATTATATAGCGTCTTTTTCCTAGCACCCCTACAAAGGTTCGCTGTAGAAAATTATGGGATAATAAAGGCAGCTGCTGTAACGGGCTGGGCCGTTGAGATGTACTCGGCTGACGCTAATACAATAACGCCACCAGATAAAGGTCTCACAATCTGCCCCTGAGTATAAACTATATAAATAGGTAGTTAGCTTATTAAGAGCTCCTAGTTCTTCTCTTCTGTAATGTAATTAATTTATTAGTTTATAACACGCTTCTGGCTGAATAAGCCCCGTGCCCCTTACAGCTGCTTTATGAGTGATTTAAGTCCCGCCTTTCTTTTTACTTCTTTTGTTTCTGCTTCAATGTGGCTGAAACAACTCGCTCAAGTGCTTCTACATGCGTTCATGGTCTGAACTGATTACACCACCAGACTCTCGAACTTTACGTGCTATACCAATTTGTGCTAGTAACTGACTCGAGCAGTCCCTGCCTTTATTGGGTTTTCGTTTACCACTTTTAAAAAGCTCTGGTAAAACAAGTCATAAACCTTGACCTAGGGTCCAGTATTACGTACAAATATATGGCTTCTTACTTAGACAGGGCCTTTTTATAGGAGAGGGGTGTATATATGCCTACGGCAGTTAATACTCTTTATCGTCCACGTGAAATTACACTATCGGAAGCTTGGTTCACTGCCAGTCTGTTTAGCTTGCTAATCCCAACCAGGGTGGGGAATTATTGCACAATTATATTTGCATAACCCCACTTCTTGAAGACGATGTTCCTGACCGGTGATGATGGCGTGAGGTGCACTGGCGTGACCGTGACCTGAATGATCGGTGTAGACCATGGGAGTCAACACGTAACTATCAGGGCGAACAGGTACGTCTCTGCCCGTCTTGACTTCCAGGTTAAAACCATGTCCACCTGGTACCACCACTAAGGAGGCGGCTCAGATTTTAATAGACTGGAAGGGCCGAGCACCAGGGCGATCTCTTCCTGCTGAAGATACAGGGATCGACTCGTTGTCTGGCGAGACAAGATGGTCATTACACTAGATAAATGCATGTGTGGGCGTGTCGCTTGCGACACGCTTAACCGCGTAAAAAGAGAGAAAAACACTAAAGGACAAGGACAGACAACATGAAGACACTGGGCTTTTGCCTACACACCTATTCAGTTTTTA